CGCCCCCCCCCCCACCTTCCCCCCCATCCCAGGGGCAAGAGAAAGCTCTTTATATTGCTAATTTCTCGCTTGATGTGCAAGGAGAACACACAATGGTGATTTCATTGACTCTTGGGGAAACTGTGTAAATGTAGGTTAACTATTGTTCGGGCGGTTTTGGGGTAGGAGAAAATAAATGTCGACATGAATTGACAACGAAGACAAAATCTATGGCTTCAAATAATCGATTTTTCTGGACTTTTCATCGACGCCTTGGACAGTGTAACAATCAAAGGTCCTGACGATAAAAACCGTTTTAAAACTCGCTTAAAACGAGTTTTAATGTCTTCCAAACCTTTGCTAAGTCATTCTAACAAATGGTATTGCCACTGGCTGCCCTATGTCGTCTGATTTGGACCATCAAAGGCCGGTTACGTGTTGTACCTTTTCTTATACGCTTTCCAATGAATTTTTAATCGGACCATTATATCAACACGATAAGGCGAATTTTGGGAATTGGCACAACATGCAGCGTCTGTATGCAGCTACACAAAAGGCTAATATATAAAGTTACAGGTATTGTAGTAATACTACTTTCTTTGGATGCGACAGATGAAAACTTTAAACGGAGCTCCAATGGACGGAATTTTGATAGAACATCCAATACTGGGGTCACAAATAGAATTCACGGTAAGCGTCACGGTTTAAGCCTGTGCGTAACGAAACATTTTACCTGCCCTATAGATATCGTCATTTGCCCTTTTTCGCGTAATAGATAAGATGACAAAAAGCTATACACTAATAGTTCTTGTGATCATTTTTCATCAATGTCGTTTAGAAGATGGTGCTGATTAGAGGTAACAGGCTGAGCATGTTTCGCACCACAAACACATTTTCGACTGTGTATAAAAAATTAGGACCTTTGAAGGGTGTTTTCATCGTCGTTGGCAACCATGTTGCCATCAAGCATACATGTAGACGGTCGTTAGGCAAATGTTTCTCCCATCATCTCGCTTGCTAAGATAACCTTATCATGGCAGGTGTTTATCAAAACTCCCGGGAGTTTATACGAGACTGAGAAACACTAACAAAATATCTTCTCATCTGGAAACATGCGGGGCATTCTTGTTTGAATTAAGTCTAATTAAGGTTGCCTAGACTGAACACAATTCGCCATACCCGCCAGCCAGCCAAACGTACCGTAACTACAAAATAGCCGGAACCGTAACGGCTGGTACACCTCTAGGCGCGAAATAAACGTTTCACCTAGTGGTGTGCTTGGTGTTTGCTTCTACCGTGTCGGACAAGATCGATCCTTATCACTGAACAAGCACATCTGTGTTGTCCGCCAACATATTAGTACATCCAACAGTACGTAGGAAGAATTTCATAGAGGTAAACTATGTGTATAAGCAGAAGAGGAATTTTAACTCACTTGTACGGGTTGGTTGTGGAAGAGAGCTGACTGTTGTTGCGTTCCACGTGTATCCAGGCAACACAGCTGGGCTGGGACTGGGCAGTGCGGATTTTTTGCCGTATATGCTTCACGTACTTTCCCAGGGGGGTCACAGGTGAGAATACAATATAAGGGAGTTATGACATATTTCTTTCTCGGTGTATCACCGAAGTGTGACATCAAACCAATAGCAAATTTTATAAAAACTGTTCCTGCCATCTTTGAGTAAAGATTTTGATTAAGAAAAGATGCCCGTAAACCGTACACATGCGGGTAGAAGTGGTCCCCCTGGTAAAAAGTGACGTTAGTGTCCCAACCCGACCGCATCGGTTCGCGACATGTTTAGAGCTGCTAAACAAATATGCTGTCCATTACCAGTGCAAATATACTCCGTGGCCTATAGTACAGAGTCAACAGGGTATGAATGCCTGTATGTACGGCTTATTTTGACTCACTTGTTATGCAGACAATGACGAATTAAGTAGTCAATTGGTATTAAGAAGAAAGGACGGGGCAAACACACGAAGCAGGGAAAGTAATCTTGGAAGAAAAGAAACGCTTAGGACAGCAGTACAAAAGTCTTTGATACAACACAGAAATGTTTTTCAATCTCCGACCAATGGTATATTTACTTGGAACAAAAGAGCGCATTGCGAGGGTACAACAAGAACGAATTGCGCGTTCCGTAGTCTTGGCAACAACTATTTTTCTGCAGGCCTTTTTTTTTCATTTGATCGGCCGCGCTTACAGGTGAACTGTCTGACTACCTAGTACCTGACCCTTCACGTTCTTACGGCGCGCTGAAGGGTGAAAGTTTCGCGCTCTGGTGGAGATTTTCACGCACGCTAGACCCGATTCAAGCACTTCTCACTGGAGAAGAAAGAAACAACACAGGCCTAACCAAACATCTTCAGACCTAATCCTGTAACAGGTCTTTTGTAGGGAGCTAAGGCGTCGTCTTTGAAGCATCTTAGAATGATTAAAACCAAACCGGCATGACTCGGAAACGTGGTCACTTGTTTTCCACTGCTCAAAAACTAACGGTGCTCTCTTAAAGAACTAGATAAACAAAAACAGGAGTAGGTTCATGTTGTTGTAAAAAGGCGAATGTTTTTGCCATGTCTGTGACCCAAACATCCTGAGGTTGTGAGTTTTGCGATGAGCGCACTAAAGCGTAAATCCTATCTCAGAAAACCTGCGTTTTCTTGAAAAGTGAGATCATTTTAAGAGTTAAGAGTTTTCTCTGTATACCTTCTCCCTCCTTCACCTCTCTTTCGCTCAGTGCCTTCTAGCCGGTTTCTTACTCCCGATTCTCTCGATTGGAAAACGAACAAATCATTTAAGACCCTTTTTCTGAGAAATTGCGACAAGGAAAAACAGGTTAACTTAAAAGCATGAGTCAGCAAAGTAACCACAGTTAATCACCCTACATCATGTGTCTAAAGTACATTCATGCCCAGATATCTGTTAAATGTTCAGGTCAGCGGGTTATCTCTTAAACACCATAAATGAACGCTGCTTTGTTCACACTTGTAAACAACTTTTGTACAAAAGATTTAATTGAATATCGATTCGAACTTGATTAAACTAAATACCTGATTCACAGAGCAGTTGCTACAATTTAGCAATTTTCTCTCAACTTCAGGACACTCAGAGATAACAATATCTGATTGTATTGTACTCCAGTCAAGGTAATAAACAACAATGACTGGTTAGTCAATATTCTCAGACATATTCCTGAGTTATGGCCACACATGCCGGAGACCTGTAGACATTACCCTGTAACCAAATTAGTTTCTTCATAATTTAATCACCAGTTTCTATAAGCCAAGTCACACAAGGTGTCAGTGAGCGGATATGTACAGAAATGACAAAACCTGACATGTCAAATATTTGTGTCAGATAATATGTCTACATTTGGACTGGATAACAAATAAACTCAGTCACAAATTCCAACATGAACCAGAACAAGTGTTTAATCTGACTGGTGAGAGACACATAAATCTTAATTTACACCTAAGTGGGATGGAAATGTAAAGTATACCTTAATAGCCATACCTTTAACGACTACTACAACTGTATTATACATACTGAAACAAAGTTCAACATTTTTTAAAAAACCCAAATACAGTATTCTACTCTCGGCTCAAGAACATCAAACTTTAATCACAAGTTAGGACTTTTCAAATTCAACATTTACACTTTTTCTGACTATGTCACTGGAACAGTCCATTTCTATCCATAAAAGTTACAAAAGTTTCCCTCCACTTGTTTTGAATAGAATAGCCCTGGAAAAAGGAGACATTTAGAATGTTACTTTCACACTAACACTGACAAGGCACTTACTGAAATAGAGACATCCTAGTTGAGAAGTTATCGTAACTTTATCATTGCATAGATCACAAATTATACATCTAGTAATAAAACTGTTGTAACAAAATATGCAATATCACATGTAAAGCACTCTTCTGTCATAGATTCCTAAAATACGATTGATGAACATTGGTCCCGCCTTTAATACCCAGATTGCTTTCATTGACTGAATTGAATGTACATGTATGTATACAAGATTACTGATCAAAAGACAACAACATGCTCTTAAGATGGAGAAGATTCAGAAGTTGACAAAGTCCAAGTCTCGCACCATGCGTAAGGTGACAACTAACGTCTCCTGGTCCTGAACCCACTGAGCTCGTCCATTCTTACTGTCCACAGGGTGAGGCAGGTGGAGACCCAGTTTACTGCACAGGGACAAACAACAACATGTTGATTATATTGTTATGCAATAGTTCATGATTCCTCTTTAAAAATAACTTTGTTCCAAATTACAAAACACAAATGTTTTGCAGATGACACCTGCATAAAATGATGTCACAAGAAAGAAGTCCTGCTGATTTGGCTATCTCTTTATTAGACTTCTCTTTATTAGATGTCCTTACAACATACAACAACATTGCTCCATTGTTGCTTCATTCCCAAGGAGTGAACTGTGAAGTATTTTCTTGTCTGTCAAAGTGAGTGTGGGGATGTGTGCCTGCAAGCAATGCAGTTTATGTATATTCTGCCAGAGGGCACTTACATCTGATGGTGTCACTGCCCCATATACATTTGTAATGTAAGGAACACAACTTACTACTTTGGTGTTCTGCAGTCCAGAAACTTGTCTGTAACATCCAGCTCCACCTCTGAGGACTTGTGACCAGGAAGTTTGATTTTGACCTGAAAAAGTTCAAACAAGAAGAATAAGAATACTTGAAGATATCTCTAATAAGGAAACAATGGAAACAATGGAAACAATGTCAAAAGAGTCAATGAAATCTTTTCTTCATATAAATGAATATCTACATAAAGTACTTATTGATTATATTTATACTATAAGTCGATAGTTCCCCTGTTCTGGAGACTGTACCTACCACCATGTCTTCACAACTGGCTGAAGATAAGTTCTTATTCCCCATCTGTAAGAAAATGTCTTCTGACGTCACCGCCTGTTTGAAAACCACATCGTACCTGCAAGTGTGACAAAAAGCAAGATGGAGTCAACTCTAAGTCTAATATCTGTCTATGGAGTAAACTGTTAATCTACCATGTTCTGTAAATTGACCTGTTTGAATTCATACACTATCCAATACATGAAAATGTAATAAAATTTACCACAGTATAATATAATTTATGAGCATTACTTAAGACAAGCAAATGGTAAAATCAGTATAAACTTCATAATACGGGCAAAATCCACTGTTGATTGTGGCACTACTGGGTGAAAATGATATGTTTTCACTATTGTCCATGAAGTAGGACAGTTTTTATCTTTCCCAAGCTGCCAAATTCCTTCCTGGAGTGAGCTACCAGGACCTAGGCTAGAATCCATCCCAACGTAGGGATGGATTCCAGGCAAGCCAGGACCCACCATAACAAACCTATCGTCTACTATGATGGAAGGAGGCTGATGATAATGGAGAGAGTTCTACCAAAACAAACTTCAGCTGAAGAACAACACTTAAACGTACTCTGGCTGTGGCCTGGGGTCCAGAACATCCTCGTACTCTGCACCTGTCGTGACCTCCTCCTCCTCCCAGATATCCTTGGTGGCAGGTTTGGGTGCCGTGGGGGGTGGAGCTACAGGAATAGGATCATACAGGGCTTATTCACCATAGATTGTCACCAGACTTCCCCCCTGGCAAAGAGCATTGTCCGCAGCACGTCGGCAGAACATACTGCACCTGCGCAAAACCCGTAATGTATTGTACATAGCATTTCGGCAGAACGTCTCATATAAGGTTGTATTTGCTCATATAAGGTTAGCATTTCGACAGTAGTTTTCAAATGTTGTGTCAGAAAGAATATCCTCTGCGACAGGAAAAATTCTAATGCAACATTGACCAAAAACCCAACAAAAAAAACGCAAAAATATGGGGTTCTGCGCAGGCGCAGTATGTTCTGCCGACGTGCTATTGTCCGCCATGTTGTGGTACAGCACGGTGCCTATCGCTATGGTATGCTATGCAAACTTTTGGCGATAGAAACATAGTTTGCGTAGTTGCGTAGTTCGGGGAATTCTTACCTTTTTCAGCTTTTTTCTTTGGTCCCACGTCTGCAGGTCCCATCTTAGCCATTGGGTGGCTAGAAGCTGGCTGTTGTAGTAAAACAAAGCAAATGTACACATGATATTTACTAGTCTTAACATGCATATTTATCTGTAACTGTGTGTGTGCTAGAGGCAAAACAATACTAATACATGTATTTACTAATCATTTATCACATCAACATTGAAACTATACCATAAACCAGACTGTGGAAAGTATAAATGATAGCCGGCTGTCTCAGTACATGATGAACAATTTGTTACCACAAATTTCAACAAAAAATTTCAAAAATTCTCTTCCTTACCTCTTCATCACTGCTGTCGTCCTGTGGCTGTGCCGCCTGCAGCATGTCCCTGAGCTGCAGGATACTGTCTCTGCCCATCAGGTCCATGGTTACGGGTTGTAACGGGCCTCAACTATTACCAAGAAGTTCACAGGTGGGGAGGGGGGCACTGACCAAATCCTGTTGGGTAAACAAAACACAACAACGGATAAATTTTGATCAGTTGGAAGAAGAGTTGATGTATAAAGACACACAGAAATGAAAAGGCAATACTTAGGTTTCCTAGCTGCTTCTATAACGCAATTGTAGTCTATTTTCAGCCGTTGGTTACGCACAGTGTCGTCTGTGTTGGCGTCCTCGGCAACGCGGAAGTGTTGCGACGACCTCTGACCTGTGATGGATACACCGCACAGACCCGCCCTCTAGCGAGGTTTTGTTGAACTGACGGACTAAAACAAACGTGAAGGGCCAAAACGTCCACTACACACCTGACGCATGTAATGTTACATTGTGATGATGTTCCTGCAGTGCTCGTTTCCAACTATATAGATGAAACGGAAAATTCCTCCCAAAAGCATGGAAGGAGCAAGGAAAGCTTTGTCTCTAGCGTGCACATTGCATTTCTAACTCAACAATAAAAAGAAAGGCCAATCATCATTTTGCTACAAAAAATAATATATAACCCTAGGATCTTGAGTGGACACCCTGGGTGACTTCAGAACAATATAATAGTCTAGGATTTGATGTAGCTTTACAACCAAAGACAGCGTATTTAACTGTACAGGAAGATATTCAACACAAAATGGCACTTCAAGTGAAACATGGGAAGTTTATTCAATTACAAACTGATGTCTGTACAACTACGTGTAACTTTCTCAATATATTATTTTCTTTTGTAAACGAATTTTGCAAGGAGACCATTGGGTTGACATGTCTATATAGAATAAAATCATTGAAAACAATGTAGCAATGCCCCAATATGGGCAACACCTCTCTTCAACTACTGTTACTAAGGTCCATGTGGCGACATGTAAATAATGAAAAGAGAATTGTGGTGAGGGGGTGATTTACAGACATCTGTGAGATCAGATTCCTAATGCTACAATTCGACATTGATACGTTACTCTCACTCACGCATAGCTGGAGTGAAAACAACTCACTTTAGACACCATTAAGTACAGATAAAAACATCTCCTCCAGTATGCATTGTATGCTAACTCTGTTATTGACATAGTTTGGTTGGTCCTTATTGCTACACTACATTGCAGTGGTCATAGCAAACTGAACATTTTCCAGTAAACTTATATGGTTTATCCACTAAAACTTAAGCATGCGAAAAATATTATTGCTATTCAGAAACCTTTTGACAAGATTCAATCATATTGACCAATTAGTGGACTGGAAGTGCATAGTAGAACAGAATCTGACAGATACAGGGTTGCTATTTCCTGTGAAAATATGTGTGGAGTATACAGTGCACTTCTATCTGTAACTAGTTTGTTAAGTAAGTGAGTTGCCATGATACAAGTTACAGATACAGAAGTTATCAGAAGTAGCTTTGGCTAAGCTGATGTTGGCATTGCTTGTTATTCATCATTGCATTTAACCCAGAGCAGCACCGTACATGCTGTTGGTATGACTAAGGTATGTTTATTGCTTAATTTTTTATGAGAGATATAAGACATTATATAGCAAGCTTTGTGGGTTTATAAGTGGACATATTGCAACACTTGTTACATTATATGAAATGTGGCTGCTTTTTTTTCTAACAACCTTGCCATGTTTACAACACAATACTAGATTTTCTTGTGTTTTGGAATAGTTTGCAGCAGAGAGTATATTGCAGGTCCGCATATATTGAACTTGCTAAATGTTGAAAAGGACAACTTTTCTGTATTACTTTGTTCCAAACATATATGATGATGACATATATGTTACTTTATGCAGAGAGCACTGTCATTTGCATTTGTATGCCAAATACATGTATGCAATTCTGTTTAAGTTTGTGTTTTCATGCTTTGCATGAAGGTGACTTTTTTTTCCAAAATCACAAAACACCAAATTGACCTGGTGCTTTAAAGACCCTTTTTTCCACACTCTACACAACAATGGCATACTTTTGGCAACGAAGTGTTACAGTTTTATGAAATTATTTTAGAAATCTAAAATAAGGACTTTGTCACAAAGCAGTTTCAGGCAAGGGTCTTCATACCAAGGCGAGACTCATGCAAAGAAAAAAATCTCCAATTACACAATACAAATCACCCAAAATAGCTTTTAAATGGGTTCAATAGTAAGGTGAGGACATATAAACACTTCTACAAAACACCACAAACAAACAACTGGACACAGAAACTAAAACATAATGAAAATAAACTCAATAAAAGCACAGTATCAGGCATCAACAATTAAAGGGGACAACATTTCACACACATTCAAGCAGCCACTATAAGCATTTGTTGATACTTTCATGGAGATCTCATGGCCACCCCCTCCCCCTGCATGGCATAGGCTGTTTTAAGCTGGCTTTTCTACTAGAAGTCTAAAACAGGTTCTTATAAAATTTTCAGTGTTTCAAAAGGACCCCTTACTTTTAGAGTTACCTTCGTAAAGGTCTTTAGTCATATGAGGGCTGTGTTTTGATTTTTTATGCAAAGAATACAAAAGTCAGTTTCATTCTTTTTCTTGACAGTACAACTTTGTCTAAGTCTAGCTTTGGCTCACACTTCATCCATTCACTTACAAATATCTCCATCCAACACATGGAAAGACAAGGCACTGGCAGGTTCCTTGTCTCCTCATCAGCAAATTTGGGACAACAGTTATTTTCAAACTCGGTTTAAAAACATGAAATTCTTCTACTGTATCAAACTCAACATGGCAAGGTGCTTCACAATTACAGACTGACACCAGTGTCAAGACAACACACACATTGCACACAGTGGACAGTAAAGGCATTAGAATTACATGCAGCATTGGCCTCAAGTATAAATCCACCTAGACAAGACATCCTTGACAGACATGTTGTACAAAGTTTTGTGTTATGAAAGACGTGGTCCCTCACCCTCCACAAGTAAGGGCTCGGTCACAATTACAAAGACAGATTTATAATAGCCTCTTGACATAGTAGCAGACATGGCATACAAAATTCAGCTACCATGTCACATATCCTCATCAATCCTACATGAAAATCATGTGGCAAATGTAACCCACCTTAAGTACTAAATATCCAACAAAACTCTTCATGAATGATGAATATTTATATCAATTACAGAGACATGTACATTGACAAGTTGTGCTATGCTACATACATGTATTTGTTACTTGAGACATCAAAATAAGTGTCAAAATCTTCAGTCAAGAAAACTTCCCCAGTTTGGTGATGGTCTTTCTAGAGTAAACTACAGAATAAAATCTAAGAGTGAATCTCATTCGTTATTTTCAGTGATTACTAGATATAGATTCTAGAAAGCAATGACGTAAAACAACGATCTTTTGTAAGGAAGGACTGGTGACAATAACAAAAGGCAAGCTGTTTTCTACTTTTAGAATAGCCTCATTTCTCAAGAAGAAGGTACACAGAGGACTCTTGACAACTTGAGTGTTTCAGTGCCAAAAGTTGGCAACATAGTTTCAACAAATCATCTGGAGAATTATCTCCATTTGTCATGTATTTGTAATTCTCTTTCTCATGCTGTCTTGGCTTTTGAGATGAAAGCTGAGATCTTCCCCCTCTTTTTCTTCTTATCCTCTGTGGCTCCCTTCTCTATAAGTTCGTCTGTGCTGTCCTCAAACGTGGGACTGACGTGCCCCGAACTCGACCCCTTGTCGGCTTTCCTGAACCACGTCTTCTTCCCCTTTTTTGTGTCTCCCTTTGGGGAGTCCAGTGAAGAATGAGACGTGGTTGACAGCAGAGGCTGTAACGTAGCTGGCCGCTGGGGGTTCATCTTGGATGCGCCGTCAGAGAGGTTTCCTTGTGATATTGCACCGTCTTCCTTTTCCTCCTCAAGCGTCTCAGCAGAGGAGCTGTCAGTGAAGTTTGGTTCATAATTGGAAAGGTTCGAGTCCATTCCGTTTGTACGCGATCGCACCAGGTCATCTTGAACGGACTGGATGGAACTCTGGGACACAAGAGTTCCGGGGAGACTCTGGCTGGTGACTTGTTTGACCATGGGGGGCCTTTGTGGGGAGGCCTGCTCGCTCTGCGCTCTATCCAAAGTTCTGCGGACTACTGTCTCACTACTGCCGTACATTTGCGATGCCATCAGCTGACTGTAGGGGACAACAAAAGAAATCAAATGATATGACAGCAACAAACCAATATAATAGTACTAACTACCACTGCAAATGGGAACAAAAGTGTACATCGATATGTAGATGTACAAAACACAAAAGTATGTATGTATGTATGCACTCAGCTACATTGTACTGCAAGATGAAAAGACAATAATTAAGACACAAACAGACAGATATACGTACATGTAGGAATCCAAAGACAAGTCACTGCACAGGGTTGTCAAGGAGGGAAGAAGGACAGGGAATGAAATTATACAGCATTAAGGGTAACAGGAAGAACGACTCAAATGACAGTTAAAAATTACACAGAGGTAAAGCAGTGAAATAGAGAGGGATGATTGTTCATGGGGACAGGTGATGGATATTATGTTGAGTTCAAGGAAGTAGGAAAGAAGGAAGCTCAAAAATCATTGATGCAGAGACATGCAGAGTTAGGCCTTAGCTCCTGGAGTTAATAAAAAAACACAGACATACATTGTAGGGGGTATGGACATCACAACCAGGGAGGGGAAATACTGAATACATGTATTCTAGTACCATACATGATGTACTGTAGTCAGCTGCACAAAAATCAGGGCTGGTAAATATACAAGTCATAATACTATAATGTGTATTTTGTTAATAACAATGTTAAATATTTTCACAGCACACAGTGCACACACAGACTACATGACTGTACATGTAGGCTACAGTGAGACAGAGAGCTACCAAACTTGGACACTGCAAAACACGACAGAGAAACAGGAGTAGCAACACACTGTGAACTGAAATCATGATCAAAAAAGATACTAGAAAATTTGTTAACTTTGTGATTAAAAATGAAACAAAATCAAAGTAAAGCAGGAAAAAAAGGGAGAGCAAGAATGGAGGATGGGCAAAGGGATTTGTGATGGCTCTTACAGGTTATATACTATCTGATTCAGTTCTTCACCTCTCGCCTATTGAGAAGGTAGGTGACGAGGGGTCCGTGCTCCCGCCTGAGCGCAGCATGGCCTCTCCCAGGGTGGACAGGGACGCAGTACTATGGGATGAACTCATGGCACCTGAAGACCCTATGACAAATATGGCTTTATTCATCTTTAAACACATGAACTACAGGATATGACAAGTTACCTGGTCTACAGGTAAATTTTGTTTAACATTCATACATCCCTCTCTGACTTGTAGGCTCAACTGTGCAATTTGTTGATTTGACATGATGTCAACCAAGTTTTCTTCAATATGAGTAACTCAGAGTAAGTAAGATGTTACCCGTTATACATGTGATATACATACATATGATGATATTTATATACATACATATGATATACAATGTATACATGTGCATACATATGATGATATACATTATGATGTACATGATGATATATATACATGCACATGCTGCAATTGCGACAAAGGCCTAAAGGCTTTTTAAAGCCAGTGTACCTGTTGAATATGTTGGAGGCTGGTCCTCATCTAGAGAGTCGTCCTCCACTCCCACAACACTGCCTGCAAAACCTGGGCTGCCAGGAACAGACCCTGAAATACAAACATCAACTTTAAATCTCTGTCAAGCATTTCACGGAATGACGGCAAAATATGACCTTTTGTGGGTTTTGGCAAAAAGGCAGGCCTTTCTACAGATTTAACCAAAAAAAGGACAGTCAGATTTCAACTCCACACCACACACAACATGCAACAGGCTATAACAACAGCTCACACACATAATCAGTTTGAAACCACAACAGGTAACTGTTAGGTAACACTCACTTGTGCCACAACTATTACATGAAATGTTGTCAATTGACGTAAAATCAAACAGGTAAATCAATTGCAGATTTCTTTCCTTCAATTTTGTCATTGGAATAATTCAGATTGTGACACAACAAACAGAAACACACGTGTACAGAGACATGGGTATTGTGCTGACAGCTGTCGGTCACACATTATGCCATTTTTCCAAGCGATGATCTGTGAACTTAGAATGGCGTGTTAGGTCACAAGTTTGTTGGAGGATACAAAAAAATATTTTCCGGCATATCATGCAATGGCACTATGAGGCCTATGTTTCCTGCCAGATGTACATGATATTTTTTCTATGAAGGAAGACAAAAGTTCAATGCCTGCAATACTGAGATCTGCAATACTGAGATCTGCCAGGAACTTGTTCATTATGATTTCTCCCATGGCGGCATCCACCTTTCCTGTAAGAGAAGCTGGATTAAAGCACAACTGATACAGACATTTCACAAACACAACAACATGTAGGGCTCAAAATACTTTTTCCTGTTACCTACAACATTGCAGGTTTCCTACAATTCAGGAAACCACAGTTTCTCGACAAAAAAACAAACAACACAAGGACTGTTATTTCTGCACTATAAACAGTTTCTGATAAAAGCAACAGCATCCAATATTTTTTCGTAAATTGTTGAATTTCAAAAAGAGTTACTCCAGCTTGGTTTAGGGCTACGATGGCTGTCAGGACTTAAAAACTCAATAGCCTTCACCTATCATCATAAATGTAAGCATTTTCCATGGTTAGTACACACACAAACAAAAACAACCAACAAATTTCAAAACTAAAGATGTCTAGAGACGGATCTTACCCTCTGTGAGGACCTGTGACAGCGCCGTCAGCCCAGGGTTGGTGATGATGTTGAAGCCGCACAACTTCTCGATCTTCCTCCATCTTACCAACCTCTCCTTCAGGTCAGAGGTCACTTCCTGCAGGGCTGACCTTGGGAACAAGGAGAAGTAGAGTTCTATTTGTGTCCAAGCTAAGGAGACTGCTATCATCTATCAGAGTTTAAGATGTAACTCCAACACAGATGTGCCAAGAAGATAAAGTTATACACAAAAGTTATTGTGTAAGTTCTCACACATACCTGGCTGTTGCTATTCTCTTGTCCACCTCATCAAGTGAGCTGGTGTGTGCAATCTTCAGGGCACCCATGACAGTGATTCTCTTTTTCCTGATCTTCTCACACTAGAGGGAAGAAAACAAGCATTATTGAAGCCAATATCATGAGACTGTGTATCATAGGGAAAATTGAAGGAGCTGTGATAATAACTGAATGATTGTGAACTGCATTATGCATGTATATGATTGTATGTCCAAATGTTGATCTAAGTGTACTATACTGACAAAAGTCAAAAGATTTGGAAAATTCCCAACTTTGGTCTACTTTTTATCCTGACACTATTCTATGTGACAGTGCCGCTTAGCTGCTGCTTGCTGAACTGCATGCACTTGTCACATACCGGTAACTGAGAGGAGTACTTGTACTTGACAGCTACCTGTCTGAGAGGGTAAGAGGGGCATTGGGGACCTGAGTATCACTTAAAACTCATTGGTCAAGAGCACTGCTGCGTGACATGGGGACTACTACAGTAAAACCACAGAAGAAGACTATTTCCAGCTCAAAAATGACTGACCGACTCCCGAGCGGCTGTGAACTGTGCCTCGGCTGCCTGTTTCTTGGTGCTGTAGTTTTTCAGCTCGAGCTCGTAGGTGAGCTGTAGCCACTGTTGGAGCGAGGTGGGGGGATGCCAGCTCCTCCTCTCCAGCTCCTTCTCCGCCTTACGCAAGGCCTGTCGTACCTGTACAAACAAACAAACAAACAAAGCATTAGCACAGGTACAATCAAACCTGCCAGAGAAGGCTACCCAGGGGACTGAGGTTAAGTGGTCTTTCTGGACAGGTGGCCTTCTTGGCCCTAATGTTTGGAAAAAAATGACCACTTTCTGATTTTATGCACTTTGTATGTTACATTATTGCAATGTCTAAATCCTTTTAAATCGGTCTAAACTGTGTACTAATATTTTTTTCCGTGAGTCAAACACTTTTAAGGTCCTTACTTGATAAAGCTCTTCCTCTGCTATTCTGAGCCTGTTGATTTCTGTCTCTGTGTTCTCTCGCACCATCTTGAGTCTCTCGGCTTCTTGTTTGGCATTGGTCATTTCTTCCCTCATTTTGGCCTCCAGGTTCATTTTCTCTTCCACTACAGTCTGTTGTTCCTCCTCTGCCTGTTGTAACCTGTGAGGTGTAGAGATAAAGATTGGAACATTAAGAACATGTTTCTTCACTGCAACATTTTCATACACAACAATCAGCAGATATACATTGAATCTTTTAACGTCCTGTATCAGGATTCTTCCCTAAATTTTTATGGCTAAATAGTTATACCCTTTAGGCCAAGGTCTACCCTTAAAAGGACCATAAAAGAACAAACCACCAATGCCCTTCATTCTTTTTGACATTTAGTAGAATTTGCTAGATGCTATTATATCCAGAGACAACTGTCTTCAGTGTGTTTCGCCATTGTTCTATCAGTATCACATCCCATCTCAGCTCCCCATCTATGAAACTTTGACATGGAAAGAAGCTACCAATAGATTTCTCTATATATTACCAGGACACACGACTGGCAATCACCAAAATCAGCAGTTTCAGTAATGTTACCCAGTACTGTACGTGATGATAGTCTCCCCACTCCATATTTCATTTGTCTTCACATCCCACAATCACATCCATGTAACTGTTACATGTAGACACGCACCTCGCCTGCATCTCTCCCAGGGTCTCCTCAGCCTTCTGCAGACTCTCCATCTCCCTCATCATCTTCTTGATGTGCCCCTGGGAGAAACGGTGCTGCACGAAGGCAAACCAGCAGCCCCCTATTGCAATCACCAAGGACAGTACCAGAGCCGTGTCCTTGATGTAACTGTGGCCTTCTGCGAAGAAACCAAAAGATAATGGTACAGAAACTGCTGAGATCTTGTCTTTCAGAAAATTTTTTTGAAGCCCTCAGTGTGTCCAACATCAATCTGCTTTAACCTTTCGAACAAAGGTCAGTGACAAATTCATTTTTCAGCAGATCCACTACAGCACAAAATGTACTACAGCAGCTATAAGAGCTCCACTGCTTTACAATTTACAAGCTTGAAAAATCTTAACTAATGCTCTTAGTCTTAATATATGCTGAGTGGTAAGGTTACGTTTTGCTGGTCCAAAGAGGACGACGTCCATGGCTTTGAGCGCGATCTTCTGCCGATGCACCGGGTTGGTGATGCCCAGGATCGTCGTCAGGAAGTGGGGATTGTTGACGGCCAATCTGGGAGGGAAAACAAACGAGAACAGAAATTAGAAAAGACATTTCAACCAACATGGCTGAGGTTAGTATGGGTAAAGTTTCAGTGTTAATCAATGCCGGCACAAGACAATGAACTTTGGGAAAGAGGATGCGTTGGGGAGGTTGACTAGATGTTAACCCTCCTTTATCAACTTACATGGCATATAAACTGTAACTAGGACAGCTTTAGGGGAGGGGAAGGTTAACAAAGTGATAGATGTCCCAATATGGCATTGTACAAAGCAGGATCTATTTGAATGTGCCCTACAATGCCATACATGTATGTAATCAACTGAAAGATACATCTGACAGCACAAACTATGTACAACAAATCAGATCTTCATAGAAAACAATCAGGGTCAATGTACAGTGTACACTGTATAATTTGTATTATGTACAAAGAGATATCAAAACCATTAGGAATTTGTATTGTCAAATGGATCATTTCACCATTTGGCTATAGAGTCTACCTCGGTAGCTTTAATCGGACCAGCACATGGGACTTTTCACAAAAGGGACTTAAATTTCTTTCTTTTGATTTCATTTGGGCACACTTGTACATGACCCCAGATTGTTGAATCTCTACTCTCTTTGTTGTTAAGCATATACATGTACACAAAGTAATATTCTACAAAGAAACAAACATAATACCAGTATCAGTTTATGCAACATCAGGTAAAAAGTGCATCTATGCTCTAGATGCTGTTAGGCCAAACAAACCACATCTGCTGAGTTATCAGACACAGTCACAAGGCATCAAGCTCTTTCTACACCATGGCCAAACATTGGTGGGATACCTCATTGGAACCAGGTCCAAGGCCAGTCATCAGGTAGTATAGGAAGAGTGAAGAAAATTAGTTCAAGCTTGGCAACTTTGGGGGTTTTCATATGCCTTTCCCAAGCTTGACTTGTACATGTAGTAGTAGCCAACACATTGTGGAACACATAAAAACGCTGGTGAGAGACTGAGAATGCATGTAACAGTTCAGACATATTGGCATAAGGATTTCAAGGTCACAGTGGCAAAAGGCTGACAAAGAACAACAAAAACAATTACAAACAAAAAAGCAAAATGACAGAAATAGAGTAGACAAACAAGCTTAAGAGGACAGAAGCAAAAAACAGCCTTCAACCTATAGAAGGAAGACAGAATACAGAATGAATATTTTCCAAAGTAAAAGCTGCATGGTACTGTACAAAAGCATAATTCCAGCTTTTTTTTTATATTGTAAGATATTGACACACTATTGTACTTCCACTCATACAGTGTAATTTTCTACATCATTAGCCACAGTATGATTTTCATTTTCTGACAAGAACATACATGTACATGTAACAGGAAAAGTCTATTCGTAGGAACAGGAAAATTCAGGTACATACATGTATGCAAGACATTACAGTTTTAGATTTTTACACCAGAGTCAAACAGCGCTGAACTTCATGAATTTATATTCATAAGACACACACTGTGCAACACACAACATATACATAGCCTGTTGTCCCCTCCTGTAAATGCATTTTGGAACAGCCACAACACCATGTTTTGTCAAAGTTTTCCCAAAGGATTTGAGGATCTGAAACGAAATTAGCATACCCTTTGTATATTTAGCATATCCTTTGTATTATGTTCCCATCATTTTTTGGTGGTGACTTTTTTGTCTGAAGCTATTAGCACATGTACCAAATCACCTTGGAAGGGCCGAGCCATCCACAGCATTTGTCTCAAACGTAGCAGCATACTGGGGCAGTTCCACACAGTTCACCAGCCACATCACAGTGTGTTCCACTGTCCAGTTGTACACTAGGAGCAAAACAGAAAACGTTATGATCATACAGCCATGCATGTCAATGAGATGCTACCATTTAATATACCTGTAATTCACTCTATGTTTGTGGTAGTAAAAGTTTTCAGTGGAGGTGTTCATGGAACTATAATGTTCATGGTGGCGGCAGGTGCAGAAAAAAGAAAGCAAATTGTTAATGGTAATGATAAGTTTGTGGCACTAGAAGTGACCATAGAAACTGTGAACATAAAAGTCCCCCCCCCCAAAAAAAAGGAATTACAGATTTCTGTAGTTTATGAGGCCATTATATCATGTTCACCTCACTGAGAGGTTCATTTGGTGACTACAATGTACTACAGCAACTGACCAGGCTTTACGACACCATATACAGCTCCGAGAGGGTCATTGACCTTTCATCGATACTTTGACACACAGACAGCATTACACCACTTGAAATACCTACGAAGTAATTTTCTGCGTGCTAGTGTTACCAGTGTAATGCATCAAGACTATGTAATTGAATGCTATATTCTACGGTAGTTTGTAGTCTGATTTCCAAAGATCTGTCTCCTAACAAACTTGAGCTAACTGTTACAGGTCAAAATCATGTACATCTGTAACACTTTGCTGCAGACAGGGTATGTTGATTTGTAGTGGAAGGGTCAGGCTGTTATGGCCAGCCACACCAGACAGAATGAGGTTATGTTGATAAAAGCAGAACAGACATTCTTGTCCTAAAATGAGATCTGATTCAGTTGGTGACCATGTAAAAAATGATGACTGGCAAAGGTTTTGAATTTTTTTACCTTTTAACTCTTTTGGGCCCAGTATTTTACATTATAAACTTGAATAAGAAATGAAATTGTGGTACAATAACTCACATTCACAGTGCTGTAATTTGAATGATGTGGCTTACAAGGTCATGTTGAAATTACTCTAACTGCTGATTTTATACATGATACTTTAATGTTTCATGGGTTTTTGCTGTCACTGTCTTGTACTGTAAACTTAGCATTACCATTATCAAATAACTTTCCTTCTTCAGACTTTCTTTTTCTACAGCTGTTGCCATCATGAGTTCCGTGAACACCTCTATTTTTCTCAGACCGCAAACATAAAGTGAACTAGAAAGGCCAATATTTGCTTTGGAGCAAATACAGCGATGGGTTCACCACATTTTACGACATGGCAGGGAAAGAATGGGAAACACAAGGGAAAACAATGATTTACATTGATATAACTATAATATGAAGTAAAATACAACTAAAACAACAGTTGGATAGCTATTCCCTACTTTATTGGTTAGGATTTTTAATTGCATAATGCAAACTGTTGATTTTCAAAATAAAAAAAAAAACGTCCATGCCCGGCATTCCACTGCTGGAGCAGGAAAGCTTGAAATACCTACCAAAACACTTGAATACAGACATACTGTCAGTATGGAAATGCTTCTGTGCAGGTGTTAATCAAGTTAAATCCCAACAGCCAATCAGCAAGAAGTATAGAGGAAAGCTGCATGCCTATTGGTTGATGCCCTGCATTCCATTGTGATGACTCATGTCCAAACGTGGTAAACAAGGCACCCTAACACAGTAATACATTTGCTATAACACAGCCAAAAAACTCAAATAAAACCATTCTAAAAGCCTGTATCACAATAATTTAAAAAACGCCTAGGGGTATTTGCCCACTGTACCTCCATACCAAATTTCAGGACCTTGGGCCCTAAAATGAAGAAGCTGAATCCATTTAAAAAATGGCAGGAGGAGAAGGAGGAGGAGGAGAAGAAGAAGAAACATCAGAAAAAGCAATATGGTTTCACCACACCACTTCGTGGTGTGGTGAACCCATAATTACAGTATACCTTCATGACATACTGTCAAAGTTAAATTCAAAGAATATTCATAATTTTAAAGAGAAAGATGAGTCTAAACATGCTAGCTGGTGTTTTACTACCTTCTGAATGTTTCCAGGCTGTCCAGAGGTCGTCGACGCTGATGAACTTGTCCTCCCCGCTGCGGTGGAATGTGCTCTGCCGCTCCGACCCGTCCTGGTAGTGAAGCTCATCCCGCAAGAACTGACAACAGACAAACACAGAGACAACGTTTAAGGGCTGTTACTAGAAGGGCTTGAAATACCACTTGCATTTATAGGCCACTAAGTGTGCAAAAGAGCTGTGAAGGTCTTTTTAACATGTGTACCTAACACATAACCAGTACCAGTGTACTGGTTTTATAGTATTATACAGTAGTATCTACTTACATGTAGTTTCTATGTGGATCGTTTTTTTTTTTTGCTGTATTGAGACTATTGACTCTTACTCGGTCCTATGAAACAATTACAATATCATGGTACCATAAACAGTTTTTGGTGTGATCCTTACTTCCTAAATCTGGTAAAGGTAAAATTGTACCGTGCAGGTTACATGTATTTTGGACTTGCCTATATTATAAATGGCATAATTTTCCTTTGCTGAAGGACAGAAATTTGGAAAGTAGTCAACACACTGGGTGGTAATGTTGAGAGATGTCACATTAGTGAGATGTGAAGGAATGCATAATTACTGTTCCTTTACCGGTACACGGATATACATGTCCTGGTGAGAATTTACTGCTGGCATGAGAAAGGAGCTGTGGTGCATACCTCACAATTAACCTGTTTCACCCCGCTTCTGTTACAGCAAGAGAATTTATTCCAAACATGGACATGTACAATCCAAGCTCTCATTAAGGCCCTGCTTCCATAATAAAGAAGAATTTGCATGCGGGAGGGGGGAAAGCAATGTAACATCAAGGCTCAGCTAGCTGAAATTGTGAAAACATCTTTTCATTTGAAATACAAATGTACAATTATGATTATTAGACTAGTACTACAATTTGTTTTATACAAAAAGGGAGTTTAGATCTACAAACATTAATACTAGTCTAATTAATATCCCTAATTCCATAAATGTAATATCGGACTTACAAACTGTTTCAGTATGAAGACATTTTAAGAAATTTTTAAAAATATTTCCGTCAAATTTTCTCAAATTACATTGTTCAAAATGTAGAAACACGACTTTTGTTTAAAAATAGGTGTGTCTGAAGCACAGGGAATAATGTCTAATCTAGACATAAATTGTCCAGACCAAATCCTTCATAATTAGTCATTGCACACAAGTACTCAGTCTGGTGTATATATAGATTCATTTTTTTCTATGCATGTTTTGGTACATTTCAACTGAAAACAGTATACATACATATAATGGGACTGAAATGATATGTCAACATTTACTAGTAGCTGTTTTACATGGTTCAATGTAAATGTCACTATCTTATTAAAGGATTAAATTAGAAGGTGGAAAATTACAGTATTATGGTCTTGAGCAACCTTTAAGCTATTCTAGTTTGACACACAACAGTAAACACTATTGGTGAGCTTGCATGACGCAGGTAAAAATGAAGTTCAAGTGAGGTCTCTGAGTCAAGGATAAAACAAAGAGGGCTTCTAGTGTCCAGAAGTTCAGGATCTCACCATGCATTTAACCTAGATAACACGGCACACATCCCTGTTTATACAAGCTGCTGGACTGACACATACCAAACAACTATTTCAGGTATGAGCCCAGACAACATGGCCCAGGGTCTTCTGTACATAAAAACATCTACAGCCATTTCGATACCTCGGGGATTAAGTTACAATAACTCAGTAAATACTAATACTAATAGACCGGTTTTGTACACCAATATGTGTATTCAATTACCTATCAAACAACAACATGTTGATTTCTAAACAGTACTTTTAAACCTTGCGTTTGAATCTTGTAGCGACGGTCCAATTTTTTTCATGCCGTGACTACTTCCAGCCTAATTATAGTCCGAGACATTCGTCCGCCACAGGTCGCACATATCATTCTATTAACGGCTCTGACGACAACGTCTACAGACAGAGCTGCCCATACAGACCGAAGCACTGCTACTCGCTACCATTAGTACATACCAAAATTGTACACATCTCAGCCAGGAGAAGACAGGATATCAGAACAAAAAGCTCATGTGGCATGGAGGATTTGGAAAGCCGTATGCCGGTGGTGGCGTGGCCCATAATATGTCTGCGAGACACGCAAATGCCAATATAACATGCATGGGGAGCTGATGACTAATCAAAGTTAGAGGATTGGGAGCGAGCGTGCTTTCAACTGTTGGCACAGCTCTTCACAGACATTTGCCTGCCTTGATGTAAACCTGCCGTATGGAAGGGCTGAAACGTTAGCCCTTTGATAGTGACATTTGCAAATGGCTACAGAAAATGTTACAGTTGGAAACCTATTTACATTTGGTACTAGGCACATCTGGATAAATACGACATACAGTTAACATCCAATTTTGATAAACAACTGCTGCATATTCATGACATGCTGGTATCAAATTTCTGTCCCTCATGCAAAATACATTCTAAATGGATGAAAGATAAAGTTTATGCGACTCTATTGCTGAAAAGGTTCCATGTAATACAGACATTTGTGTCTAAACCAACAAATTCCAAAACACGATACCATATTGTTTTGAGTTTTATGTCCTTGACTGTCCATAAGTCGTATGTATGAAAACAATTTTTCATGTCTATATACAATACATTATACATGTATGTGTTTACAATACATATAACATACATGTATATGTAGGTCCAAAATATGTAAGTCATAAATCATATGTAATGTATTGTTCAAGGACATCCTAGGCCTCAATAAGAATGCAAAATATACCATCTAGCAATACCAGCAAAGCATGTATGGGGCAATTTGAAGATGGTGTTAATTGACAGTATTGTGTTTCACAATTGTTAGGTACCACTTCCAGAATACTATTATAGTATTGACAATTCTTGTATTTAGTCTTATTAGCTAGCTGAAATTACAGGTAATTTATTTGTTAGCACTAATTTTCTAAGCAGAAATTGGTCATTTTCAATACACCAAAACATCTATCAACAGCAGAATTTTTCCACATAGAACATTCATATGCACAACTACAAATATGGCAATTCATCTTCTTTAATATGACAATTTCCCAGGGCTAATATTTGCTACCAACTTTAACAGCATTTTAACACTTTAGTTATGCCTCTCACAAGGTAAATATTACCACAGACCATTTCCTTGGGTGTAGGAAAAATGTTTTGTTTGGAACAGAGTCAAACATATTAGGCAGACCAATATAAAGAAGTCAAATAAACCTTTATTAGCTTTCAGAAGAGTAGGACCATTTCCTGCATGGTAGAAGAAATATTTTGTTTGGAACAGAGTCTAATACAAACATACTCGCATAAGTGGTCAAATAAACGTTTATTAGAACCAGGGGTTAAAATCAACAATGGGGGTTCACTTGAGAGCACTAATAGACCACCCAACAGTTCATAAAATGGCCGATATTTCCTAGCTTTAGAGTGTGTTTATGTAGCAGCCGTGCTGTTGCTGTGAAATATACCAGCTCTGCCGCTATGATGTATGCCAGGAGCCCTATGGCTATCATAATATTCATGACACTTTTGATTATTGAAGAAATCTGGAACAAAAAATCTTTGCTACAAGTTCTGTGTGCAGACACACTAACGACTAAGCCATTAATTAAATGATCTCGGACAGTTTACAATGAAAATTTGGCTGATACTGCACAACATGAAAACAAAGGCTGGAGGAAAAATTGAATCTTACAATCTTATATCCTTACTCCCTGAAACTACCAGTATTTTAAGAAGATACAAACCTCCCCTTTGAATTTAAAAAATTGTTTTAATTCAGCAAAAACTCCAAAGTTCAAACCAACAAATTGAGCTGGACATTTGTAATCAAGGTAAAATATGAAATACAGATGTAGTGTAGCACATTACGACACAAAGGCATAATTGACCCATTGCAGAATTGGATAAAGCCTAGATGTCTCTACAGAACCATCAATGCCCAGCTGTGCTTTCAAGTCATCGGCACTGCGGGAGAAAAGTAAGTCTTCCTCTGGCAATATCGCACACAAGCCACTCGCTGTGCTTTACTGTAAAGAGGATACAATTGCAGGATGAAACTAAATTGCAGGAAGTAACCCCGCTGCATTACCTTTCATCTAAGAGCACTTTGTGGAAGAGTGCCTCTGAGACTGGAGGATACCAAATTTGGAGATGCTGCACTTATTGAGTTATATCCTTAGACTCCATTTGGGCTATCCTTTAAAGTATGATCCACAACATAAGCCATGGCATTTTCTCATGTCAATCCATTTATGGTTGTAATAAAATGATAGATCAGTACTACCATAGTGGGCCTTGATTTATGACATTACTTTCAACTTCGGAAGATGTACTACTCTTTGCATGTCTGTTGTATCTCCAGGATATCTTTGTAAATTGTACATCATTTATCAATGCTACGATTCGAATAGAAATGTGTTTCTGTCCTGGTCTCATATTGTACTTGGCAGTATTAATATAACAACAGTATTTGAGAATGTTCCTCTTGGCAGTGGGCCTAGTATGCCATGTGTTATTGCACTTGTGAAAAGCCTCTTGTTCTTGACTAAAATAAAAATAAAAATCTGCTCATAACTTTGCCTAAAACCCTCATGACCTGACCAGATATTTCTACGAAATGTCCAGATACTTTTCCAATGTCTAGATATTGGAAATGGCAGTCTTATTATTTCATAAAACATGAATAATCATCAATCTATTTCCCACCAACTGCTATGATAACTGACAGGCTTGACATTACGTCAGTATCTACATCTGATAATTGCCATTCCTCTGTGGGTATTTTGGTTCCCTGACATGTCTGTTTGTAACTTCTGTACATGCGTGCCTTCATGATTTATAGTTATACCAATTGTAGACTCAGCGGTCTGACAAAAGCATGTCTTAAAATGTATGTGTACAATGTACAATGTACATGTATGTAGTAAAATCAGAATGTCTGAAATCAGAATGTCTCAATATAAGGTCGTATTCGCGTATATAAGGTTAGCATCCCATCTGTAGTTTCCAAATGTTATGTTGGAAAAGATATCCTCTACAACAGGCAAAATTCTGATGCTATGGTGACCAAACATCCAACGATATCCGCAAAAAATCAATGGTTTCCTGCAGGCACTGTGCATTCTGCTGACGTGCTACTTTTATACAGTGTATGGCGCAACTCACCTCATCACTTTCCGACAGGTCGACGTTACCGTTGTGGTCGTCGTCCAGCATCCTGTGGAGGGTGTGGAGCGCCTCCAGTCCTAACCTGTCCTTCTCCTGACGACACTCGTCTGTACATTGTTCTGACGAGACGAACAAAAAAATATCAGTAGAAAATCAGTAGAAAATCAGCACAAGCATGGCGACATTTGTATTTGTCCATCGCTCAAATTGCTTTTTTTTGCAATAATTTCAATTACACTCACTCTCACTCACTCACTATCCAGTTTATCGTCTGTTGTTCCCCATCTTCCGAGGGTTAGACGTGCTTGCACAGTACAACTGGGGCTTGTGAATTACAGTTCTTTAAAACTATTGTTTCGTATGACAATTTTAAGATTACTAAAAAAAACTATTTGATTTTGGTTAGAAAGAAAGAATTCAAAGTTAGTGACGTAGTGTACCATATGTTAAGCTGATATCCATACATATACATTGTCTTGTAGTTGGAGGTTTCAGTAGAAGTTATACAATCTGTATAACCATGATAACAGTGTTTAGATTGCCTTCAATCTTTTGTATAGTCTATTTCTTTTTGTAGTTCACTAATTTTTGGTTTCATGGTGATATAAAAGGGGGTCAAAAAGGGAGCCTGCAAAAACACCTTGTTGATCTCATATAGTTCTGTTGTAACAGTGACGCATTCTGTCAATCATAATGTCTTTACAATCTGACAGTGTAAATATCTAAACAAAGGGGAACCCGGCAATCTAAACACCAGGTCAGGGATTATGCAAATAATCCTTTGTTCTGTCGGTTGAAAGGTTATAATGAAGTCCAGAACTTTCTTCATTGAATTGTCATCACTGTGAGTGTGACATAATTTTGCATGATCGACTACAAATGGCAACTGAGAAGCTACCAACAAAAACTTTGAATATCAGCTATTATATTGAGAACAATTCTTTTTATAGTATCATTAACAGTTCACACTGGTTTAATTGTCATTGAGAGGCCAAACTAATTTCTTTAATTCTCAGACAAATATGCATAAAACTTCAGCTTAAAACATCTATACATGGAATTTTAACAAGATGTTTGAAATTCAAACAATGGGCTGGGTAGAAATCTTCCACCGGACCTGACATTACACAATATTCACTCTATCTAAAACTATATGTGCACCAACTGACCAAGGTACAGATCATTTTATCCTCAGAATATATGCTTCCAGATCAGAATTATTTCTAAAATCTGAGAACCACCAAATTCGATTGATGTTGCCTGACTCAAGGGAACACGTGTACAAGACATGTACCTTTCCTCTAGATCACATCATTAAAGCATTTAGCAATTTGCAATCTCTGCTGCCAAATGGATGAAATTTCTAACAATGCTGCACTCTAATGACCTATCCCCCATTTCCTGCAACGTGACAGCTAATTCTCCCAATTGCTCCCAAACAAGAGCCATCAGCTACTCCAGGATTCTAATTCGGAATGGATGACCTTTAGACTTTACTAGCAACTGCATTGCTGATGCTGAGCACAAATGTGTCCCGGGGCTTCTGACAAAATATGTCATGGAAAAATCCTTAAACTCTGGAATGACTTTGGCAGCCTGCCATATAAACTGGTATGAAAGTGTAATAAAACAAAGTTATCACGTCTGACGTCTAATATGTATTCTTGCAAATGCTTGCAGATCTAAAAAAAGCAACAAAAAAAAAGCACAGTAACATCTGTTACACAATTTTTTTGTTGTACAAGGTAAGACAGCTGACTTTAGTACCAGCATGATACATATGAGTCTTATGACTGTACCTAGATACATAATAATATTTCAAATAACTGTATGTAATTTCATAAGTTCCAGCTATGATAGGCTATGATATATGGCAACAAAATCTAGGTATCGCTTGCATGTTATCTCAAATCTTGTTATATATGCCCCATACCTTTAATCTGCCTTAAGAGGAGTATTACCTGAGACTTATTAAGTTAACCTTATCTTTGCAACACAGAATCACATATCGGCTTTAATAACAGCACAGGCGAGTTATCTTTAACAAAGTTTAGCATGAATCAAATCTCCACTACTGTTTTTCACAGCTTTCCGAAATCTACCAGAGCAGTCCTCAATGGAAGCAGGCATACCGCCAAGCTACAGTACTGTGTATATGTTTGAATGAGACAGTCTCCTTTCCCATATGGTGTTCCCCTTGCCCTATCTACCAATTACAAAATCCCAGGACTATGCCCAGCCTGCCCTGGGCCTTCCTAGGGGGTTAGGGTTAGTACTAGCATTTGGCAAAAATACCAAACAAGAAGCCATAGGCGACAATTCTCCGTGAAGTATTATATATTGCAACAAAAAGAAGTAGCCATTGGCGACAATTCTCTGTGAAGTGTGATAAATCGAACAAAGAAAAATTGTTTAAACGCGCGTCGGCTCAGTCATCTTAAGACGCAACAACCAATCAGAGATGCGAGATGCCTACACGTGACGCGGGAAGGGCGCGCGATGCCCGAAATATTTTTGCGTCAATATTCAGCGCCGTGATTCAAGAGATTAATACCCGGAAACAATTTTTTTCTTGTTTTGAACGCATTAACATGCATTTACGCTAATCTAGTATGATTCAGGGTTACTTTTTTTTAACCTGCCATGGCCAGATTATCTAAAGATGTGTGTATTGTGTGTACAATCTATAGAAAGAGAAATGTACATCAGGTCCGATCATCCGATTTTCACGTTTCGGTTTTTTGGACTCGGTTCATGAACGTATTTTGGTTTGGCTCCTGGAATGTGCAAAAAAATGACTCCCGGGACTGTCTACAGGGAACACTCGCACATTCGCGGTGTATCAGGACAGCGCGACTGGTCGTCATTAGCGCAGTAACAGTTGCATAAACGGACGAAACCATTTCAAAGAAATGGGGATGTTTCGAAAATAAGCATTTACTCCAATATCAAAACAGCTACGGTAAAAATAAAAAGACGTGCATCATCCCGGACATAATGCAACACCACATGCGAAATTACACAGAAATGCGACGTACGGAAGAATGCGTTTTGGCTGCGAACATCTTCCAAAAAACTTGGCATCTCTTAACCATGGGCAAAAACATCTGCAACCACTTATAAAAACCACCCCGTATCTGCATGAACTTTTTTGAACCCCACTGCTATTCCAAACAACGCGTTTTTCTGGACCATTCCAATTCGCCTCGTAATTGTAGGGGTGCGTCTGCGATATTACATTGACCGCGAAAGCAGCAACGGCAAAAATACACATTCGTGCATCAACACGGGCATGCCCGCAGACGGCGTATAAAATTGCGTGCCGATTACACAAAGAGAACCCAGTGTTTTGACTGCGAACATGAAAAATCAGCCGATTACAACACTCCGTCCGGAGGTCCTGACCTCCTTCACGGAGTAATAAGTTATAACTGGCCAGGGGAGTGAATCTGTGCAAGGACTCAAGGAGGTTAAAAATCAAACCTCCTTGGTCTGTGGTAACCCTACGGAGGCTAAACTCCCTTTGCAAATCATTTTCTGTATTTGGTTAAATCAAGGAGGTTCGAACCTCCTCGGTTAAATTTGATTCAGCCAGCAAAGTCTGGTGGAAACTACCTGGCTCTGGCAGCTATCCTGTAAAAGGTTATCTGGTCGTGAAGGAGGGCATTTGTTATCCATCCCCCAAACTCTCCTGTGGATTATCTGAAAAATTTGCCTTCCTTGTTGATTTGGCATCCTTATCATCATGGGTAGTGGTCGTCCATCATTGTCCTAACTTCTGGTAATTTGAACATCCTTTACAGGGAGAAGTTGGCAAATAGCCAGTCGAAGAAGTGAAAGTATGGAAAACTTACCTCTTTCTTAGCTCTTGTTTTACAAGATGCTTCAGTGGGCTTTTTATATTTTCAAGGGAGCACAAGGCACAAAATTGAAATATTTAACTTAAAATATATAAATAATATATACAGACTAGCCTTCACTGCCAACTAACATACATTTTAGAATTCTCTTTTCAAATTGATGAAAAATATCACCTTTAAGTTATTACAGACATTGTACACATAACAATCGTACTGCTATGCAGTGTCTGACAATATCAAAACACAGCAAATTGTGATCTATCTTCAGCTGATTTTATCTAGTACTACTATACATTATCTGATTTGTTGTCAGATCCTATCACACATTGTTTTCAATTTTCCCTGCCTCTTCAGGGTCTTGGTGTAAGTCATTTCAACAAGATAGTGAGTGAGTGAGTGTGGTTGTCAACAGTTATGATATTTAATATAGAGATCAATGTGCTCAATGACAGATAAGCATGGGTCATTAGATATCATGCAAGTGATAAAATTGCTTTCCCCTGTAATAACAATAATCATGTAACTGGACTCTAACTAGTCTAAGAGTCCCGTGGGGATTTTTTTTACTCCCAATCCACACAAAAGCTTGGAGTCACAATCTCATTGTTGTAGGCATGTAGATTTGCATATCTGGTCTGCATGAGCTCATTTCCTTCCAAGGTCATAAGGGGGCTGTAGGAATGATTTTTCTATGATTAATTCATTTGGGCACTATGAAAGCATAGCTGAAATACTGGCAGGCCTGAAAATCACTGGGTACTGGAGTATCATTTCTGTAACACCAACAAGTGTTGGTGATTTATTGTGGTACTTATTGTGACCACCCCCTTCTGCTCGTAAATTGAATGATTCGTTTTAATTTGTGAAAATTAGCAGGGATGTAGATAACATGGTGTCATGTTGCAGCGATGACCCACATGTCCACAATATATTTCAACGCCTGTCCAAATTCAAATGGCCCCGTGCCCTTTCCTTGCTGACCCCTGCACATTGTATATAAGTATTTATGGTTCAACCAGACCCTTTGACCACTTCTGTTTTTATAACCAGTGCGACAGATCTTGTATAAGATTCGGTAAACATACCCTTGGCACTCGATATGCTTACACTTTTCCAAATGACACGACCCCTGTGGTTCTACATGTTGTACTTCTTTTTGTTGAAAGGAGAAAGTTACAGGGAAATCTAAGAGGTGACCTGGAAGAAATGTCGTGGTTTGCTGTCGGCGTTGGGTGCCAGACCAATATGAAGGGGAGGTGTCAGTAACATAACAAAGCATCTGCAACGTGGAGCCCCTAGAAAAGACGAATTTTATTTATTCAAGAACGTCTCTGTTCCACAAAAATTCGAATGGCGTCCGCCTCCCCTCTATAATCTACAAACTCGTGGGAAAGGGCGTGCGGTGTTGGAAGGGCATGATATTGCATAACTGACGGGCACGATTTCGTTATTTGACAGCCCAGAGATGATCTCAGAGCCTGCCAAATGCAAAACATACAGTCATAAAGCTTTCAGTTTACCTTCTTCGTCAAGGCTGACGTCCCGACTGCGTACACAAGAGGCCGCCAAGAGAACTATCCCCGCGATCGCCACCAAAACTGGCCTCATCTCTCCGCGGCGCTTCAGGGTTCAGGAAAAACTCGGCTTCCGGAATTTGGCACTGTCGAGCAGCGGTTCTCTGACGCAGTTTAGTCCGCCATCGTCATGTTTGAAATACCAACGATCCCGGATAGAGTGACTCCACCAGGAGAACCCCTCTTCACATGAGTCACTTCCTCCTTTTCAAAAGGCTGGTGCGTCCAATGAATTCCTCCCTCCAAAAGCAGCACTTTTCCAATCCGAACATGCTAGTTACGCGCAACATTCACCCAACAATATGGCTTTTATGATACAACAATTAGATGGTCGTGAGACTGCAACCATATGATATCATCGACTAAAAATAGGTATGTATAAAAAGGAATTGTTTACTGACCTATAAAAGAACTGTAAAGTAAATACAACAGCCAAATGTGGCCATGTAGAGCGACGTGATTGGTCAATAATTTAGTCACGTGATCAAATAGTCCAACATGGCAGCCACCAGGCCCGGTAAGTCCGGAATTTCTTTGCAAAATTTGGTTGTATAAAAGTAAATATTGCTGTAATGTCGCATTTTTCGTGGATTCTTGACCAACAGCTTCCTTATGGCGAAATTGGGCAGGATATTTTGCCTGATAATCTTGTTAAACACGTAATTCCGATAGTTGACAATGGCAGTTTTACATACGTGGCAAAACCGGGAGGGAGGGGGGCACTTCCGGGTTAAATGTCCTGACAGTCACAGTGGTTATGATATCACAATTAAATGAGTTGTATGTACACTTCGTTAATTTCTCACTTACTGAACGAAAAAAGCTTTTAGTCCAACATACGTATAACAGATTCCTAATCTTACTTTGATAAACTGACAGGAAACCCAGACCGAGGCTGGAATGACCCGCCCATGTTCATGTACGATGCCCAAAACAAGGCGCAGGAGTCACCAAGGAGGGCACTTCCGACAAAACGTGTGGCATTCCCTCAGGGTGCACCTCCACAACCTGCAAGTAAGAGCCTACTACTCAAATACTAGCAAAGAGTTATGTTAGAATTGTTTACAATCAAACGCTACGCTTTTCTGCTGGATTCTATTAATTTTTGACACCTAAACAGTTTACTGGCATAATTTTTGCACCCATCGCTTGGACTAATAGTAATACTATCTTTGACTATTAGTTAAGTACTAGCATTATTTACATCTATTACATTTAAAATTCTACCCTTGCCATGTTCTGTTTTATTGCAGATGCCCCAATTGCACCCCCTGCAATACCACCAACAGGAGAAGTCCCAATAAGGGCACCACCAAAACTATCAACTTCCCCTCCAGACTCCATCCTGTTCACCCCTCCAGATGGTACAGTCCCGAGTGGTTCCCCTACAGGGCCTGTCCTCATGCCCCCTGTGACTGACACGGCCCTCCCCCCACCCCCCTCCCTCGGACCTACCTTACCTGTTGTCGTCAATGGACCTCTCTTATTCAACCCCAACAGCCCTCAAGTCCTAGGTACGTCCTCTGATTCCGCGAAGACGGCTCCAGACAAAGCTGAGGAGATGATCAAGGAACGTGCAAGTCATGATGACAAAGATCTTTGCAGGAGGAGTGTCGAAAGTCTTAGGAACACCTTACATGCAGTCAGTGATCTTGGAGTGGAAGTGAGTTTGTACTTTAGCCTGTATACTTTTTTTCCTTCTTTCCAGAGTATCTAGAAAAAAATTGAAGAAAGCCACAACTCTTTTAGAAGAAGATGGTGTCTTAACCTTGCTTTTTACAGAATTCTTGTCCTTGATCCAAGTTATATTTCAATCATTTTCATAATTTCCTGTGGTTAATAGTCTTTGTTTTATCCCAGCAAAGAGTGTGTGATGAGGTGGGCAGGAAGCTGATGATGCTGGAGAACATGTGGACAGCAGGGAAACTGTCCAGGCCAGTCCAGGTGTACACTGATGTCCTGGCTACAGGTGGGTTAACAATCAGTTCTTTTGTGGTTGTTGTTATTTTTCAGGGAGAGGGGGATACTGAGTACTAGTGGAAAAATGACAAGTCAGGAGACATTTTTTATGTCGATCAGATTTGTTTAATAAAATAGATAAGTCAACAAGATAGTGAAGCATGCATGAGTGAAGCTTTTAAGAGATATTTCATCAGTCAAATTGTTCCGTCTCTCATTTTCCACAGCCCTGAGTGACCGTGACTGTGACCTGGCCCATGACATGCACCTGAAGCTCATGTTGGACCACGTTTCTGAGGTAGAGTGTATATATAATACATGTATTAGTACACTGTTTTCATTATTTTCAAAGCTTCCAAACATTGCATAAAAAATATCATTCTATTATTTAGCAGTATGAAAAGGTTTTACAATTTTTTTGTCTTTGTGTTTTTAGATTAAAGAAAACAAGTTACTGGAATTTGGAAATATACAAAGAAATGAAAACGCAGAATCTTTTCTATCATACAGGTCAGGCAGTGGATGGTGGGAGTGAAACGGCTGATCCAAGAAGCAAGAAACCTCCCTCCAAATCCAAGCAAGGCAGAAACAGTAGCTCAGGAAACAGAACACAGCCCAGATGTGAACAAAAAGGAAGAAAAGAAAGACAATACAGAAGTTGATGAGACAAAACTGGAGGAGCTCGCAATCAGTGACCAGACAGAGAAAGGAACAGAGAAAACAGACAATGAGATAGAAAGCTTTGAAGCAAACTCTACAATCAATGATTCATAATAGAAAATTGTATCTTGACAAACATCCTACATCAGACAGTGCAAAAGGCTTTCCACTGTTGAATGATTCAAAGACTGTTGTGCTCAAAAGCTTTTGTCACAGACCACACCAATCTGATTCCTTCATTCTCAGATTTGAGAAATATAATGCTTAAACCATCTACTTTCATTTTGACCTCTTGTTGGATTTTTACTAATAAGTGCCAGAGGACCAAGGGAGTAAATTGGAGTGGTCTTAAAAACCAAAGGTCAGTTAAAAACTGTCAATTTCAGGGCAAATGTATGTGTAATGCATGTATCAGATATTTCCCCATCCTGTGATGATTTAACCCACTGTAATAGACTGCAAACTGTTTTAATTTTTGCGTCAATTGCATCATCTTGTGAGTTGTGAAATTATCAAATTATTTTCAAACAGGCTGTCATGGGTGGCTATTGACATGTAGTTTATTTCTAAAAAGTTAACAGTATATGCTGATAATTTGTAAATGTGCAAAGTTATTTTTATACTAGATAGTGTACAGTGTATTCAAAGTTACATGATTTTTGAGATCTGAAATTATGGCAAATGCGAAATGCTCTGTGGTGGTTGGGTTTTTTTGTGTAACAAACTTTATATGACCACACTAAAATTTTAGATACAAGTAGGAACTCTCTCAAGACTATTTATTGATGATATTTCTAAACAAATAAGTACATTAAGTAAGCTGTGTTCTTTTAAAGACAAAGTCAGAACTGACATTTGCAATTCCTGTGTTTGATTTGCCAGTAAAGCCAATCATGATATTCTAGTTGTCTTCTGTGAAACATAGCAGAATTTATCAGATAGGTTCCAGAGACAAGATAATTTTAGCCTCAAGTGATGTGTTTGAAAATTTTGCAGAAATATTAATAGGAAAAGGCTGAATTACATTTGTACATCATTTGTACTCTTCTGAAAGAAGAGTTGCAATTAAGAATCAGAGGTAGCATTTTGTTTGTGCAATAGTCAAGTCTAACTTATAATCTTGCAATTTAATAGTGTTACATTAGTGTGCCAGTACTTCCCACTAGTACTAGTCAATAAAGGCATTGTTCCACAATTTTTTAGAAATAGCTAATCATTTCAATGTGAAAAAAACTGCCTCTTGCATCTGTACCTGCTTCACTTTTAAATGGAATTGCCCATGCCTCTTCTGGAGGTCATGTTTAAGTGGATGTACATGTATGGCATGTATGATGTGTATCCATACTGCACACTAAAATTCCTGTTTGGTGGGTCATCCCTGTATATAGTCTTCCATGTCCAAAAGGAGACGTGTAAAAGGACTATAACCTTCAACCTGCTAATGGATACCCTCAAACAGTGCAGATTTACTGCTGAAACTTTTAAAGGTTACCTTGGCAGAGAGAAGGTTAAGAGAGACCATGAATTACCTGTGTAGGCTCCTTTTTGTCAGGGTAACAATTCTTGTGAATTTTGGATGAACAGTTTTGATGACATGGAACCAGATAGAAAATGTGAATTTTTCAGTCCAGTGTTTTAAAGATGTAACAACTTTGATGTTTCAATATTGGGCTCCCTAGGTATAACCATGTTATTTTAACTCCATGGTATAACCAACATTGTTCCTCCTATTATATTACAGCATGGAAATAAAAGCAATCATTGAATATGAGAATGAAAATAAAATCTTGTCATTTCACAGTAAAAAGTACAGATGTATGGTGCATTACTTGCATTTAACTTCACTTACTGCCACAGTTTTTCTGAACATAGTTGAAAACTGGTACATTTGTATATCTTAAAATGTACTTAAAAGAATGCAAGTGAGGCATTCTTTTGGAAAGTTTCCAGAGCAGCTTCTTGTATGACTGATGTGCACTTCATCTTGTACTGCTACAATGATATACACTTGGGAGTTTCTCCTTCTTGACGGATGAGTTGGAAAACTTTCGAGAACAACTTAAAACAAGTTCGACGGAAAAGTCTGGGAAGAGCTACCCTCGGTGGCCAATTATGGAGTTTTTCTTTGCCAAATTATGGAGTTTTTTTTTTTGCCCAATTAGGCCACACCAATTTAATTTCTTGGTTAACGGATTTTTCTAGAAAAATAATGGAGCGGGCGGGCGAAAAAAATAAAAACAGGCCTAGGCATCCTATTATGGCCCAAAATGGTACAATAGGAGCCATGAAGTCAACACACCAAGCTGGTTCAAAATTAAAACAATGAATTTTGAACTTTTAATGGTAGCACTGCATCGAAAGATGGAATGACCGTAACAAGTAGTAAGAAAAGGACTGTTTTCAACTGTTCAGGGCAAAATATGAGCATTTTGCAGTTGATTCTGAATTTTTATTTTTATTTGCAAATCAGAAAAAAATGAAGAGGCGAATCCGTTAACCAAGAAATTAAATTTGTGTGGCCTTATGGAGTTTGTCTTTGCCCAAAGCCATGCAAGGGCATCATTTACTGTCTCTATGGAATCCTGATTGCAGACTTAGTTACCGTTCACCTCTAAGAAAGGAGACTGATTACAAACAGAGACGTCCTAACAGGAGCTCAGGATTCTTTGTCTCTAGTAGTGATCACCTGAGCATTTTAATGTGGAAAGCACATCTGTCTTCCCTTCTGGTCTAGCCTGGTGCCAACTGTTACACACTCTTTCAGAGTCCAGAACAACTGTAGAGCTCTCTCCTATAGGAAACAAAAAGAGTATGAGTATGTAGCACACATGAAAGTTTTTAACTTGCAATTAAGCAGGTACCAAATGAATGCAAAAACTCC